AACACCGCTGCTGCGTCATTCGCTTAGCTCCGCCTGATACAGTTGTGATTGGTTTAAAGAAACAAAAACAAGTCGGGAGTGTTGTTTTCTTTCCCCCCTATTGCAGAATGATAATGAGGTGTAGCCAGACCATTCTGTGCTTTTCTAGAAATCGTTCCTAGATTTCCAACCTTTGTTTCAGTGCTCCGTGAAATCTCCAGGGATGTGAAGTGTATCTTTGTGCAGAGCTGTTGAAGTGTATCTCTATACTGTATTACATTACCGCACTAAACATGTCGACCGCACCACTTATACGGCCACACGGCTTGCATCTGAGGAGCTAAACAGACGGCCACCGCAACGATTGCCAGATGACAGGAGAGCACAGCAGACGGCCTGATGAATATTTTCATAATATTTCGCCAGACGACTGAAAATCACGCACTGTTACGTACACAGTGATTCACTCGCCGCGCCGCAACACATCTTCCACTGTTACTTTTCATACAGGAAATTTGTTTGAATGACAAAGACAGAGGTTGCCATTAAAAACTCATCAAGTAGAAGGCCTCCGTGTAGTCGCAGGAGGAGCATATGGTTAGAGGCTGAGGCTCAGCACTGATAGATCAAGAGCTGCACTCTGGTGTTTTTTTTCCCTGTGTGTTTCGTATATGAAGAGCTGGAAGGTTTATGGAGGACTGGCGAGTCATGGCTCTGCAAAAACACAGTGGGAGGACTGACAGCTCCATTTGGGTGGGGCGGCGCTCGGCTCTCAGACATCTGGTTGTGGTTTGTTTATGTATGTTGCCAGTGGTCTCCTCCGCCAGGCAAGAGCCGGAGCCTTTAAAAACCTGCACATGTTTATATGAATGATATAAGGTGAAGTGAGTATGTGATGTGGGTGTGTGAGTGTCTACATCATGTGCTTGTAATTGGCTTTTTTTAACAGGAGTACACCAGTTTTTTTTTTTTTTTCTTCAGCCCAGAATCCTTAAAGGGAACGTTATGAATTTAGTCTTCTTTCAGTGAAAGGAATCGGCAGGCTTGTCATCCATTGATCACCACAGATTTAAGTTCCTGATTGTTTTATTTATTTATTTTTTTCCACTGACACAATAGACAGGACAGTATCAGCGTTCCAGGAAAATATGATGGTCCAAAATATATCCATATGTTATTAATCATTTTTAAACTTTTTGCTACTCCTTGTTCTTACTTCTGTATTTGGGAAATGAGCCTCAATATTTAAACCACAAATCCCATGATGCTTGGGTAAACAGGATGCTGTCATAGAGTCGGTGAATTACATCTTTTTTTTGTTCACATGTTGGCAAAGTAGCTCTAGTCAAAGTGTGCCACATGAGTTGCCTCCTTGAAAAGTATAGATTTACAGGGAGCTATGTCTGGATTAGGTTTATACTGAAAAAACATAGACATGTGCCAATTTTGAGGCAAGTTCTGGAGGAATAAGTTGTGTCTTTGTATGATTTCTAAGCAGATTTATGTATTGTTTGCAGTAGTCTTATATGTGGAGTAGCTCCAGTCTCCAGACAGTTTAGCGTACACTGTGCTAAGTGACACCAAACGTGTGTGTTTTGTCTGCCAGTCCAGCAAGAGTTACAGACAATAAAGTAGAATCAAGAGCTGGAGGAAATGAACCACGGCTGTCCGCCTGTTCAATACTCGATATTATGGGAGTGATGTAGCGATGCATTTCATGTGAGGTCATTGCTGGGTGTGGTCACAGTGCAACAGGCCACAGCTCTGACCACATCAGCTGCAAAAGTTACACTGCTGAAGATTTTTTCATTTTGTCAAACCGCGTTTTTCATGCTATTAATGGCTTGTCACTGTTTGCCTTTTATTGTATTTATGGCCTGTAATTGCCTCTTTATATGGTAGTTTTTGCAGCGACAAGCCCCGGTTTGCTTGTCTGCGCTGAATTCCCCATGACTAATATAAGAAACAACCTGAGGCAGCTGTCAGACAGAAATAATTTCCTATTTCTGAATATGCCAATGAAAAGCATAAACCCAGATGATGACGATGATGAAGATTCGTTTGGCATATTAAAACTGCAGACTACGTGTTCTGTGTAGAAACAGGCAGTCTGTGTGACTTGTGTGACTGAACCGGACCAGTTGTGAAATTTGGACCCCACCTTTTTTTCTGCCATTTAAAAAAAATATTTTTCCACCGAAGAGAGAGAAAAAAAAATCAAAATATGAGAAAAGAGGTGGAAAACTTGGATGTTTGACTTAAGAAGTAACATCTAAAGTACGAAAAGGAACAGCAAAACAGCAAGGATTACTTAATCTGTTTTTATTGAAAGTGAAGGCGATAAATAGATAAATTACACTGAACGGTACAAAATAGTAATAATGTGTCACCACTCCGTTTGATAAAGCTTCTCTTAGGCATTTATAGGAAACATTAATGCTCTGATCCAATATGAACCTTCATGGAAATATGGCAAGAAGTAGTGAGAGCTAAAGCTGAATTCAAAATGTACAACATTTTTCCAAGTGCCCAGAGGTTTTACTAATGCTGGAACAAAAAAAAGTGGTGACTCTACATGCTGAAGATACTTTAATACTCATGCTTTAAATTGGTTTCCATACTTGTCTCTTGTCTGCTCCATGTAAACACAGCCTGCAGTTCAGTCCAGTTCATTCGAAAAGTCCCTGAATTTTTGTCACATCACTGTTGATCCTAGCTGAGTCCATCATGTCTTCAGAGCTGCAGAGCATTTCTGCAAAATGTTTGTTTTAAACAAATTTTTAAATAAAACATTTAGAAAAATAAATATCATGATTTGAAGCCCACTGGCAGGTTTTGGAGTGCAGAGGTATTAGTTAGTAACAGTTGCTGTTATTACTATTTCCTTTATTATCATTATTCCCTTCAGTTTAACAGGTATGACAATAATATACTTATAAACAAAATTAATCTGATACCAGTCCCGGAATAGCAACTATAAACTCTACACTCATTTATATGACTCTTTAACTCTTTATATGTTTTTATAGCTTTAATCTCTGACTTACATCAAGTGCAATAATATTATGTGATAGTGTTATGTTGAGGGGAAGCAATTGTAACAACATTAATTTCTTCTTGGCGCAGTTGGTAGCACCTCGCAGCAAGAAGGTCGCTGGTTCGCGTCCCGGTGGGGGCACCGGGATCAGTTCATGTCCTGGTTAGGACGCTCGGGATCTTTCTGCGTGGAGTTTGCATGTTCTCCCCGTGCAGCGTGGGTTCTCTCCGGGTTCTCCAGTTTCCTCCCACAAGTCCAAAAACATGTTGAGGTTAATTGGTGATTCTAAATTGTCCGTAGGTGTGAATGTGAGTGTGCTTGGTTGTCTGTCGCTAAGTGTAGCCCTGTGATAGACTGGTGACCTGTCCAGGGTGTCCCCTGACTTTACCCGAAGTCAGCTGGGATAGACTCCAGCCCCCCATGACCCTAGTGAGGATTAAGCGGTGTATAGACAATGGATGGATGGATGCATGGATTTAAACCACTGTGAAAATATCTATGTATATCTATCTACCTATCTACGTTCTCCTGAAGAGCCACACTTCAGTCCAGCCTACTGTCTTTTTATAGAACATTACTGAACTGCTGATGTACTGAAATTTAGCTTTTTCTGGCAACAGATAGAAGCCTTTCAAGAAGTAATAATCTTCCAATTTCTTCTATTTTGTCGATTCAATGGTTATGACAATAGTCAGTGCACTTTTGACAAAACTCTTATAGTTCTTAATTTCTAAATAAATTCCTAATATGACAGCCCCCTGTAATTACTATATGTGAGGGTCCACCAGGTCTGAAGTTTTCATTACGCCACGAGGCCAACAGAGTGGTTTATTCCCCCCAGAGCTGGAGGGAAACACGAGCCACATGGATGGAACATATAGGAAGATGAAGAGATGAAAGTGAAGAAGATGAAAAGTGGTTGGAAGGCGGAGAAGATAAGTCGGGACTTATCACTTGATCTTAGTAAGTCTGTCACAGGCCGTGCGCGCTCCTGTTTGTTTGGCGTTAAATGACCGATAGCCCCTCGAGTCCTGAATAAATGTAAAACCAGCGACTTGAGGGAGGAATCTCCACTGAGACACTGTTAACCATTGCCAGGATGATTCTTTGCTCTCTGTGGCATTCTTTTGGAATGTAATCTTTCCCATATGTTGGAGAGATGAGGCCATGGCAACAATGACAGCATGTAGCTACATGGAGAGAACAGAAAGAGGACAACGGAGAAGGATCGGGAATAAAGAGGGGCAAAATGGAAAAGACGGTACCATCAAATCAGATCACATTTATCTTTCACTGCGGTTTTAGCCAAGTCATCCGTCACATGCGACAAAGGAGCAGATTAATCCGTCTTCTCCTAAATGTGAGGTTTTCACTCTTTTTGATGGAGGCTCCATCCTTTCATTTTTTTTCTCCACCATGTTTTCTCTGTTCTTCGTTTGCCTCCTTCCCACATGTAAGGCACATATTACTTTTATCCTGCAAACATGAAAGGAGATTGCTTTCTCACAACTTCCTGGCATCTGGTTGTTGCAAATATTGCACCAGAGTTTTGTGTATATATGAAGTGTATGTATAGTCTATATCCTCTCTTATCCTTTCATTAAACCGTGAATCAAGCGTTTTGCCTTCTGTAAACATCCACTTCCTCTGAAGCTTTTTCTCCCCCCGTACCTTTGGACTTTTCACCCACCACATGCATCCCTCGCTCCGTTTTCTTCCTCCGTTTATCTCTGTCCTTTGTTCTTTCTCAGGCCCAGATTCAGCTCGATTGCGGAGAAGACAACATCTGCGTCCCTGACCTGAAGCTGGCTGTTTATGGGTGAGAGGAAATCACCTTTTTGTTACTTTACCTGCTTCAACAAACACAGCCTAAACCCTGCAGCAATGCAATGCTAGCCCACCAGTTGTCCCTCTGAGTGACTGATTGCAACAGAAATTCAGCCTGCAAGCTTTCAGAAATGTGCAAAAAGTGATGCATTTTTTTGTTTGTGGTCACTGGGGAGGGATCTTGACTAAACAGTCAAAGCAAAGCACTTTCCACAGCACAGGACACATTTTCAAGCAGCATTAAAGCCTTTTTTTATTATTTTATGGCAATTTGAGCGCAATAGAACAAGCAGTTATGTTAAAGCTGACAGGTTCATAGCATTCTGCAGACTAAGACTGATATCCAGCCTCCTTTAAGCTGTATTGTGGTTTCTACTGACTCTTGCGGAGCACATCCATCTCTTCTGCTGCTAAATTCTCTGCTGTGTGGGCCGCCGCTATGGCTCAACTGGTTGAGCTGGCGACAGAGGCTATAGTCCCCGATGCAGCAGCCATGGGTTTGAATCCCACTCATGGCCCTTTGCTGCAAGTCCTTCTCCTGCACTTTCCTGTCTCTCGCTTCACTGTCCTCTTCAATAAAGCAGGGGTCTCCAATCCTGGTCCTCGAGAGCCACAGTCCGGCATGTTTTAGATGTTTCCCTCTTCCAACACACCTGATTCAAATGATCAGGATCGTTATCAGGCTTCTGCAGAGCTTGATGATGAGCTGAAATTCATCACCAGGATTGGAGACCCCTGCAATAAAGGCAAAAAGGCCAAAAAATAAAAATATATCTGCTGTGTTCTTCAGATAGATGCTACCTTTGTTCCTGTGCAGTTTGATGGTGAGCATCAATGGGTCAAAAGTCAGAAGTGGTTCTCACAAAGTCAAAATTGGTGACTGCAAAGGTAGCATAACAGAAAAAAATACTGTACTATGGTGGAAAACTTAAAAAAATTAACTTAAGCATTTTTCATTTTGGAAATCAGAAGACATATGCAGAAAGCCAAAAGGATATGATGTGCAGCAAAAGTCCTCTGACCAGAATCAAAAACCGGTGGTCATATGGTAGCTGCATCTCCATCCCAGTTATCCATCATTTTAAAGATCCCAAGTAAACAACATTGCACACTGTGAGAAAAATTACAACAAATTTCTGTTTCATTTTGTGGTGGGTCCCTCTCAGAGTCAATTATTCTCTTTACTGGAACTCCTCTATGCGCTATCACACTGTGACCACTTAGCAAAGCCTAAACAAGGCTGGAATGTCCATCATCACAAGTTGTTTATGTTCAGTCAGAGGTGCTCGGTGGAGTTTTTTGGACTACTAGTAGTGCTGTGGACCAAATGTGTTTATCAGCAGGCGCGATGACGCTGCATCGATTAGCCTGACTGCCAAGATGCAGCGTTTGCATGCAGTATTTACAAATACAAATGTTTTATGAGGATGGAAATACACTTAAACATATTTGTAGGCCCCTGTGATACACAAAATGTGTTTTGCTTGGAAAAACTAAGCGATCCCGTCTTTGCTTACGGGAAAACTCTGCAGAGTAATTTTAAACGATGGGTTATTTTTGCTAATGAGTTTCTTGCAGATTATCTTGCAGTAATTAGATGATTGATCATCACAGTATCAGATTTTGTTTGTTGTTTACATTTGCAAGCCAGTAAAAACATGCACGGTCCAATCGGCTTGTAAAAATAAATTTCAGGTGTGGAATTGTCCCGAAAGAAGAGAGGGGAACAATTAAAAGCACAACATGAGATGTGTAGAGTGAAGCTGTCAAAAGATAAAGAATGGAGAGGATGAAACTTATTGCAGACAGCAATAGGATGATGTTTACAGCACATAGCATGAGCACACTGGGATACAGATTTAGAGGGATGATTTCTCACTCTTGGCACAGTCACGTATTATTATTAATTAATCCTGTATCCTTGTTTGTGAATGCAAACCAGTCAGAGATTTGGCAGAGTCTCAGCCCATTCACAAAGTGAGCACACACACGCTCAGACCTTCTCCTCCCATACAGCCAGCCAGCTCTGTCATGAGGAGTGTTTTGCATTACGTGGCCATGTGATTTATCTTAGCTGCAGAAATACAATCAGTGCGAAAAAATTCCCATGAAAACTCAGAGGTCTGCATGTGTAGTTTCCACGGGACCGAACTGAAGTGATTCAGCATTTCAACTAAACAGAACTTCCCTTCACTGACACACTCTGAGACGAGCATTTTTCTCCCGCTCGCCAGGAATTTGCAAACAGTGGGTGTCTAACGTTCACAACCCAGAGGTCTGTGTTTGAGTTGTTTCCTCTGGCTTCAATTATGCTTTTATGAGCTTTATGATCCACTGTGATATTTTCCCCCAGCAGATGAAATTCAGGTTAGAGTAACATCCCACCTATGTGCTGCAGATTTCTGTCCGTCCTCAGCATCTGTGAAGGGTTGGTGTTGTGGCATTGCTTCCTCTGCATTTGCTAAACTGGTCTAATTAAGATCATCTGGTGGATGTCTTACCTAGCGAGGGGTCACTGCGTCCAGACCCTCTGAAGATGGGGGGAGGGGAGGAGGAAACGGAGTGAAAGAAGAACCCCAATTCCGACCCTCGACCAGACTCCTTTCTCCCCTTTCTGCTCAATAGAAACACAAATTTACCACCAGTAAGGGTAGCCGACCGGGCGGGGGGGGAGGGTTGGAGTCGCAGGGTGTCGAGAGGATTTACGGAATTACACTGAAAATGTGTTTGCGCACAGGGGCGTCGCTGTGAACATGCAGAATAAGGTGGGGGTCGGTTTCCTGAGACAAATCACAGTGATCAGATTTGGGTCGTTTCCCAGGTCGGTCATGCACAGATATGCAGGAGAAAATGGCCTTTGGGGACCCACGAAAACAGAGATGCATTGTCTGGAGAGGTTTCGCGTTCCTGCTTTTCATTATGTTTTACGTTCTTCTTGAGCATTTCGGTCGTGCCCTGCACCAGGGGACTTCAAATAGATGTGGCAACAAAGGTAGAACAATCAAAACTGTTGGGTCATTTTGACTGCAATAGATAAATGGTCTTTTTGAGAATTAAAAAATAATATCTATGATAGTCATGGGAACACGAGACTAAGCATGCCAGTGAATAAATGCTAATCTGAGCATTCTTATATGCTTTCAGAGGCTATTCTGACATCCAATATTTACACTGTTTTTACCACGTTCACCTTCTTGGTTTACAGTTTTTCTGGTTGAAAGCAAAGACATTAGAAGGTTGTAAGGATACCATTAGTTCTGCATGTATATCTGTGTTGACATATTTGAGAAGATAAGTAAAAAGTTTAAAATTGCTGTTGAGCAGATGCTGAATAAGATTGGAAAAGGGTGGACAGGCTGTTCCAGTCTGGTTCAGTAGAAAAAAGAAATCATATAGTGTGTAAACATTCTAATTATACGTCTTCAAATCCAGTCGTCCTAATAAAGCTTCATCCAGGAAACTGTAAGCGTTTTTTTCACTTATTTTTGGCTTTTCCATGCAGCAGTGAGTTGGGATTTGCTGGTAGGTCTACCTCCAGAGTTGTTCAGTGGGTTGTCTGGTGTATTTACTTTTACATAAGGTCCTGATTTACAAGGACTAAAAGCAGTGCAAGCCGCTGGTCTTTACATGTGGTTTGTTCAGACTTTCTAATTTTCAGCAAGGCTTCAGGTCTGTCACAAACTTATCCTACAGGTGGCACCAGAGGAGAAACTAACTAATTGCCTAACTGACTGATGTGTTATTTCAATAGTGTGGCTAAAAACATTTTTTGAATTTTTCTGATTTTTCTGATTTTACCTATATTTATATTTATAGTGTTTTTGTGACGCTCTGAAATTTCTAGCTCTTAGTGGTACTATTACAAAATACTATCTTAACAAGGGATGTGAAGTAAGTTAAAGTGCAAAACTGCAAAAAACAGAATGAGTACGTGAGAGATGCTGATAAAGTTGTGTAATTAACACTTTATTAATTAATCTATGAACAATTTATTTTCTGACATTTCTGGTTTCAGAACTTTTCCTTACATTTTCAGAAGCCTTAAACCTGCACTCACCAACATTTTGTATTCACATTAAATGACCTTCACATGAACATGTTGGTCGGAAAATGATGAACCAATAGAGAGATAACATTCTGCAATTTTACTTAGTTTTGTGTGAAAGTTTTGCTTATTTCAGCAATCTGTTTTGGTTTGAAGGCCAGCAAATTTAATGCTTGGGTTCAGTCTCACGGCTCTCATCAGCGTAAAAAACTGGGCTAAACATGAATATTGGTGAACATTAGATAGAATTTAGTAGCTAAAGAGCAGCATATAGATAAAAAACCTGGGTGGCCATGGTTCAGGTGATAGAGCGGGTTTTATCCTTTGCTCCCCATGTGCCAAAGACGTCTTAGGCCAGAAACAGAACCCAAAACTGCTTCCAATGGTAGGCGAGTACATAGCATGGAAGCACCACCACCATTGGTGTGTGAATGGCTGGAAGATGCTGTAAAGTGCTTTGCACAACCCAGCTAAGGGTAAATGGAGCTTTGTATTCACCGTAAATGTCCTCTGAAGTTGGTGGAGGCTAAAATGAAGCTAAGAGAGCGATTATTGGGCTTAGATTCATCTGGTGGCCAACGAGGAGGCGTCACATGAATGTCTGTTAAAAGTGGAAATGAGGAAGTGTTGACACAACTTAAATTTTATTCCATCAAAGTGTTTTGTATGCAATGATAAAAAAGAACCTCAGTCACTGTTCCTAGAATAAGCTGGGCCTCTCGTTTTGGCTCTTCAAGACGCTGCATATTTAGGTTTTTGAAGACATTTCACGTCTCATTTTCACCTCGTTATCACCTCTCATCCAAGAAACTTCTTCAGTTCAGGAACAAGCCGAAAAACGGGGAGCCGAAAAGAGAAGTCTAGTTGCTTTTTACCGCAGCTCTTAGGAACACAATGGCCTGGATGTGTTCTTCTAATAGCTGTCAACAACCTGCGGAGAGTGGATCAGTTTTCATTATAAAAACGTAAGAGGAGGCGTAGTGATGATGTTGTGGTTCTTCTCTTCCCAGTGACAGAACGGAGGTTTACCTTGGCGATGAAAACTCCTTGAACCTGACCTTCAATGCCAGGAATGAGGGAGAAGGAGGAGCGTACGAGGCTGAGCTCTACGTAGCTCTTCCCTCGGAGGCCGACTACAGCGGAATAGCTCGCAGCAATTCGGTGAGGCAGACAATGACCGCCATGACTAAAGCTTTAGTCAGGGCTGTGGGATGTGTGTTATGGTGAGGGTTGACAATCATGTTTGGAAATCAAATCATCAGAGTGTCTGACACAGAACACCAGTAATTATATTAATATATTATATACTGTGTTAATGTTATTCTCCAGTAAGTACAAATTACAAATTCCAGGCAATAAAAACCCAAACAAACGGGACATGTAGCGGCAGAAAACTTCATTCTTGTTTGAAAGCTGTCTGTCCACCAAAAATCTGGCAAAATAGTTGACGTTATGTGTTTGTTTATCTTATTATTAAAGGCGAATAGTTGATCTAATATGATGTTTTTGTGCCCATTGCAGAGCCTGACCCAGCTGGCGTGCAGCTTCAAGGCAGAAAACCAAACCCGCTATCTCGTGTGTGATCTGGGAAATCCCATGAAGTCTGGTACCAGCGTAAGAGCCGACAGAACCCACATGTTGTTTTTGGCCTTTTTCGCTTTATGTGTCTCAGTACAATTAAGTCGAGTCAACTTGCGTAATTCGTGTGCAAACAAACTCAACATGTTTTGACATTGACCTGATAAAACCTGAAAAAAACTTTGTTTGCGGAACGATTATTCACAACTTCTTTGCAACAGTGGACGTATATCTGAGAGAGAGAAACAACTCGGTTTCTGTTATTACTACTTACTATCTGTTGAAGTACAGCTAGATTGGAAATGCAAATGAAGAGTAACAACATAAACCAGAAATAAGTCAGTAAGAGTTACGGAGGCTCTTGTTGCTGTTTGTGGACTGTTGCTGCTCCTGAAAGCTTTGTGAACATTTTGAAGGACAGAATCTTGACACATTCATCCAGAGCATCCCATAGATGTTTGATAGGTGACGCGTTAATAGAGCCTGCAGGCCATGGTACGATTGGAACATCGTCAGCTGCTAGAAGGACATATTGTGCATATTCAGGCGATATTCGGACACTATTCAGGATAACCGCAGATGTGAGGATTCCTTCTCGCTGTCGCCGGGCATTGAGATCGCCATAAATTAAACGCAGATGTGTTCTTTGTCCATGGCACATCCCTGCCCATAGCATGACTCCTCCGCTTCTCCACACGACGGTGACATCCACATAAACATCTGCCATCTGCTCTGTACAGCTGGAAATGAGATTCAGCAGGGCAGGGCTCGATCTTGTTAAAGTCCAATGAACATCCCCTGGAGCTGATTATGATGTCGTTCTCTCATGTGAAGGACTTGGTGTGGGAGATGAGATCGCGAATTTCTCACAGTTTGAGCAGAAAATTCTGTGGCTGTGTCACGAAGTTGATCCAAACGATTTCGTAGATGAGCAAAGGGGAGATGTGAAGATCTTGGGGTCAGACGGTGGAGCGTGGTCTGCAGTTATGTGGCAGATTGTCTGTCACACTGTGCCAACAAATGGCGGATGTGTATTTGTTTAAGGCAGCTTTAAAGAACAAAAACTGTCGACTTTTCATTAGTACCAACAAAATATATAATATATATATGTTGACTATGACGGACCTCAAACATCTCTACAGTTTCTGATGTTCCCTGGATTACTAATGTGCACTTTCTGTGTCTCATTTCCTAGTTATGGGCTGGCCTTCGGTTCACTGTGCCCAGAGTGAAGGACACTCACAAAACTGTCCAGTTTGAGCTCCAGATACGAAGGTAGGTCAGTTTTCTGAAAGGCCAGTACAGTATGGCAGGACACGGTAACTCACAGTTTAGTGGAATCAAGTTAAATATCCATCCATTTAGAGGTTGCCATATTTGAATACTTATCTGTTCAAACTGCTTCAGAATTACTGTGATGATACTATTATTCAGTCATTTTCAGCTGTTTCATCAGGTAATGAATGAACATTGTTTCTGACACGTCCGGCTTTGTGTCTGTTGTAGTAAAAATGCCAACAACTCCGAGAGCGAGGTGGTGCTGCACGAGCTGGAGGTGGCTGCCATGGCTAAAGTCATTCTGCAGGGGTGAGGCTTCACTGTCGACTCCACTGCTACATCGTTGTTGTGAAAAAAAAAATCATTCTTATCGGGATTTCTGCCTGTGGCCTCTTGCAGTGTTTCTCTGCCAGACAAAGTCGTCTTTCCTCCTCCCAACTGGACGGCTCGGCAGAGTCTTGTTGAGGAGCAAGATGTTGGACCTGAGCTTCAGCAGGTCTATGAGGTGATTTCTTATTCTTACCAGTCTCTCATATCTGGTGTTTTAAATGAAAATGTGGTTTAAGCTTTAATTCAGTGATCATTAGGAGACTGATTGAAAATGATAAGAGATGGAGAGAAGAGTCTGACTTGGTGTACTATGTGAAAGCAAAGGTCCTGGAAATATTTCATATAAACTTAGAATACGATTAACCCTCTGAACCCCAAAACTTGCAAATGGGTTTTAAAAGCATGTTATATTTTGTGAAAAATTACCAAAACTACACAATTATTCAGCGCTACAAACTGTAAAAATCAGAAGAATTGTTGGATTTTCAAATATCAAACAATCAGTTTAGCTCGTCATGTGGGACTTTGTGTTTTGTCACTAAAAAGAAAACAACCAAATCTACGCTCACATTTGGAATATTTAATCAGAATTACTTGATTGTAAATCTGATTTAAATATTGGCCAAAAATAGATCATTTGTTCAAAGCAGACAGTAATTTCTGCTACCAAGAAACCATTCATGACCTATGTGTGACCAGTTCAGAGACCGTTCAGATGAACTGAGTTGAACTGCAGACTGTGTTTATGCAGAGCAGATATGAGACAATTATGAAACAAACAAACACAAAAAATGTAATTAGTAAAATATCTATAATATGTTGAGCCACCAGTTTTTCCCAGTATTTGGTATACCTGTGGACACTTGGAAAAATGTTGTAAATGTGGATTATAGTTTTTTATTTATTTATTTATTTTTGGAAAAATAAAAAATGAAACTGTTTGAATGATTTATGACATTATAACTGTCATACTGCAAAGAAGACACATTTTAATTCTCTCTATTTCTTATAGTGAGTTTTATAGTGAACATTTTGCAAAGAAATACTTTTTTCTTTCACCTCCCAGCTATGAGGTCCTGGGTTTGAACCTGCTGGTCAGCTGTGTGACGTTTGCGTGCTCTCTAAATCGGCTTTAGGTGTATAGATGTGTGCGTGGTTGCTTCTGTTTTTGTGTGCTGTCCAGTTTGTACCCCACCTCTCCCCATATGTCTGCTGGGATAGACTCCAGCCTCCCTGCTGCCCTCTACAGGACAGAGCAGGTATAGATAATGGATGGATGGGGAAAGGATGTCTGTGTTGAAATAAAATAGAAGATTCAGCCTCCCTCCTTATTCCACTGATTTTCATACAGTCCCTTAAAAAAAAAATCCATTATACTTGGAGGAAATATATTAATTCATTCAGGCAGCGTTTGCAGCAGCAGCAAGTTCAAACCACGTCTCTTCTTTCTCTCAGTTGGTGAACAACGGCCCCAGTTTGGTGAGCCAGTCGA